TTCCTACCTCCCTTCCTTTCTTTGTATAATATTCTAAACTTTAGGGCTTTATACTTAGCTTTCTCTATCTCAGTTAATTGTACCACAACCAGAAGAGTTAGAGAAGCCAGAACCCTTGTTGTCATGGATCTGCCTCTCTTTTCATCTTCTGTGTGTCTATCATGAAACTTAGGTGGATTAATCTTTTTAACTACATCTCAAATACAGCCACTGATTTCTATCTAAACCAATACCACTCAGTTTCACTCTCTGGTTATCATTTTCCTGGACTACTGTAATGACATTCTAATTTATCTCTCTACATTTTCTTTTGCCTTCCCATCTTCTTTTCTAAAACCTACTTTTATCAGCTTCCCGTCTTTCAATTCAATCTCTAAATAAAACCAATTGCTTACAGGTTATAGGCCAACATTCTGATTGAGATTGGAAGGTCCTACACAATCCTGCCATAACAACTTCTGTCACATCACATTGAGTGTTTTGTTTTGTTTTTGTCTGTGTTTGTGTTTTTATATCTTTTACTCCAATATGAGCAGTATGAATTTTTTTGTGTTCTCAGGGCCAAGCACATTGTAGAACTCAAATATTTAATTAGTGATTTCATGGCTGTTTTCTGTGTAACAGCTACATTGCCCTTAATATTTTTCCAAAATTCCATACTATTTCCAATGCAGGGTCATTTTAAATATTAAATATGTTTTTTTGATTGATTTGTAGAGAGAGAGGGAGAGGGAGAGATAGAGCAATAGAAACATCACTGAGAGAGAAATATCATCGATTGGCTTCTTTTTACTGGGAATCGAGCCCGCAACCCGGGACATGTGTCCTTACCTGGAATCAAACTGGTGACCTCTTGGTTCATGGGTTGACATTCAACCACTGAGTCACACCTGCCAGGCTCATTTTGAATATTCCTTCTTTTTCTATAAGTACCTGTCTTTCATTTCTATGCTTGATTTAGTTCTGTTCAATGTTAGAGCTCAATAAGAAGATTTTACTGTTCTTACATATTAGATAAGTCCCCTGTATTGTTTTCATATAACTATATTTTTTCATTATACTAATTATTATATGTTAATCTTTGATTCTATTTATTTTATGTCTGTACCTTCCATCCCAGCAAAAGCAGGGAAGATGCTTTTATTGTTTTGTTTACTCTCAGATAATCAGAGTCTCATCTAGTGCTAAAAACATAGTAGCACTATAAATTAATCACTTGTTAATATATTAAATTTATTGTTAAATCAATACCTCTTAATTAGATTCCAAACACAGATGGCATTTCAGTTAACTTACTTTGGCCTATTTCCTTTTTAGATATGCAGAGATAAGCAGTGTATAATAAGTGACTTGGTTTATGACTGTCCAGAAAAATGCAACAATCATGGTGTAAGTATCAGTATTACAACACAAGAATAGAAATCATTGAGAGTGATCTTAGGAAAACAAACATGCAGCTAAACACACACACACATTCATGTACTCATAAACCACACAATAAAATTGGCCTTATTTCAGTATCATTTTAAAATTCTACTTGAACACAAGTAATTTGAGCTACTTATATTACAAAATAATATTTCTCCTGTTTTCAGAAATGCAATAATAAAAAGAACTGTCACTGTGATGCCCCCTTTTTACCTCCAACTTGTAGAAATACACAAGATTTATGGCCTGGTGGGAGTATTAACAGCGGCAATTTTCCACCTGTTATAATAGGCCGTAGTTCTGGTAAGTACTAATAACAAATTGAAAACATAATTAAAATACATTTTAATTTATTAAACTAAAAAAATAAATACTACTTTGTCTATCAATTTATATTTAGGCTGTGTTAGATTGGACATCAAATAGTAAATCATGTATAGCTATTAACTTATGTTTTACTTATAGAGAGTAATATAATAGGACATATTTAACATACATTATAGCTGAGATATGTCAGTAAGGGCCAAGGCAGGAAAATAGAGATCAGTTTAGTCCTTTATACAAAAGAAACTTAATATAAGGCATCAGGTAAGACGTAACGGCAGTGATAAAAACCAATTAGAGAATGGTGAAGCAAATGAGATTAGCAACTGTAGAAATCCACTATCATTTCTTGGGGCTGGTGAGACAATAAAAGGAGGTGATATTTCTGCATCCAGAACCTGAGCCAAGAGGCATGACATATAACTATGGTCAAAGCTACATATCAGTATGTAGACCACAGGGAGAGGTACTGCCCAGCATGAGGTAGAGATGTAGAGCATTCACAGCCATTATTAGGGATGTAGGAGAGGAAGGGGGATAAATACCATGGATATTTTACTTTTCTGATGTTCCAAATTTTATCCAGTGACTTCCATTGGCTAAACCTAACTAGAAGACAAAAAGTCAGTGAACTGGGGAAATGTAGTACCCTATACATTTTTGTTTGTTTGTTTGATGCAGGAATGGACTTTAGAGCAAGCCAGTATATCCAATGATGCTTAGGGTAGGACTAAATTTGCATATAATTAAAGCAAGTTTTCCAGATTTTGAGCCAGAGGTAGTTCTTAACATTTTGACATTCATTTCATTATTTAAAGCCATATGGTAATAGATTACTAAATTATAGCATATTTAAGCATTATCAAGCTGTTTCCATTTTAGTAGTAACAACTTGCAGCAGCTTATGTTCAAATAGACTGAAATTAATTGCTTCTGTTCATGCACACACATGCCATTTCCCCAATGAATAGAGGAGACTACTCCTTTGCTAGAATCCAGGTTGACCTTAGTGATATGATTAATCAGTAAAATATTCAGAAGTGAGATTCTGGGACTTCCATGATCTTCCCGCAGATTCTGCTTGGGTCTTTTCAAATACTAATTCTTGGGACTCTCATTCTTGGACCACTTATTCTGTCGAAACTTATCTGCTCTGTATGAAATTTGATTACACTGAGACAAAAAAATACAACTACACAACTAAGCCCTCCCCAAATTCATGACCCACAAAATGGTTAACTTTAAATGATTGTTTTAAGTTACCAAATTTGTAGTTTCTCACACAGTTCCCTCTCTTTCATACACACACACACACACACACACACACACACACGAAAGCAAGTTGATACCAGAAGGTGTATTTATATATTAAGTATCTAAAACATGTGACATTAGCTTTAGCATTGGATGGTGTGTGGTAGAAAGACCTCTAGGAAACTGTTGAAAACTATTAGTGTGTTATAAAATTGTCTTCAGAAGACAGGGTGAGCGATTCAAAAGCATGTTACTAGAAGTTGGAAAAATGAGTTTTGTTATGAATTGGTGAGTTATTTGGCATCATTGCTGCCTGTGGAATTATGGAAAGTAGAATTCAGTGTTCTGATTGGCAAGATTTCTTGGTACATTGTAAAGATTTTCATGTAGGTGACTTAAATTACCTGTGATTAAATATAAGAAGATGATAATAATTAATGAAAGAACAGTTCAGTTTTCAAGTAAAATGTAGAGCAAATGTAAAAGAGCTAATTAATTTTTTAAATATTTTTTTTTGGCTTGCAAAAGAAACATTATTATTCCTGTGTGTTCTGGAAAAAAACTATTCTTAAAGTAATAAATGTGTAACAGCCAAATTTGAGATGTTAAGCAATAAAATTTCACCTCAGGTAAAAATTAATCCAAACACGTGACTGTAAAAACCCTTTTATGAAAATCTCAGAAATCTTAGTTTTTCTTTGATATCTTCATCTAATCAAAAGCCCTTTTAAATAATGTATTAGAATGCCTTATAAAACTTTCAAACAAAAAGGCTGCTAAGAAAATTAAGTATGTTATTCCATGGCAGCCTCACCAGCCCAATTTAGAAAAATGCTTATCTCAAAGAGATTTGTGGGTATGGCCTTTATTTAATAAGACTTATTATTATTATTATCATCATGAATTTTTATAAAAGTTTTTTATATGTGTTTATTTGAACTAAACTGACATTTGTTGGGGAGCAAGATCTCAACTGCTTCCCAGGGTATATTTTTATTTGATACACAAGAAATGCACACATTTTTAAAGAAATTACATCAGCTCAGACTGAAAGTGATCTCAATATCCCACATGCTCTTTGAGTTCTAATCAATTAGAGGAAAGAAGCTATTCAGATATAAAAGGGGCTATTCCGAATGGAAAGAATTATAAATTAAAGGGTATTACCAAGAAACCAGAAGCCAAACTTCTTAGATCTGTGAGTTTATGATTTTTAAAAATCGAAGCCAACACAAATTTTAAAAACACAGGCCTAGATGGTAAAAATACAGGTTAATTCCACTAATTTTTTTCAAGTAAGAAATACCATTAGGAAAAAAAAGTGGTGAGAGGACTCCTATCACCTCATTGCATATGGTAAACATAACCCTGGTGCCAAATCGAGACAAAGAAGTTAAAAAAAATTACAGAAAAATTTATTTCATGAACATAGATGTAAACATTCTCAAGAAAATATTAGCTCACTTTATATAGCTATCTATATTAAAAAGATAAGAATCCAGGCTATATGGGGTTTATTTTAGGAACACAAGAATCTTTTATCATTTGAAAGTCAATCAGTACAGTTCACTAAATCAACAAAAAAAATTTTTAAGTATATTATTTTTTTATTTGGTGCAGAAAAATCACTTGACAAAATTTACCACATATTCATGATATTTTTTAAAAAGCAGAAAACTACTAACGTAAGTAAACTTCATCAATCTGATAAAAAAAATCAACAAAAACAGTTAATATATTTTACTATAAAGTACATTTTTCTTCAAAATATTAACAAAACATAAAGTCTGCTCTTATAATGTCTATTCAACATTTTCCCAATAGTCCTAGCAAGTGCAATAAATAGCAAAATAACAAGAAATCAGAAGCATGGAGATTGGAATGAATTAAATAAGACTGAAGATGATATGATTAATTACATAGAAAGTCCTAAAGAATCTACAAAATCACTTTTAGCCCTAGCCGGTTTTGCTCAATGGTTAGAGCACTGGCCCTCCAACTGAAGGGCCTAGGGTTCCAGTGCAGTCAAGGGCACGTACTTTGGTTGCAGTCTCGATCCCTAGCCTCCGTCAGGGCTCCTGTGGGAGGTGACAAATTGATGTGTCTCTCTCAAATCGATGTTTCTCCCTCCCTTCCACTCTCTCAGAAAAGCAATGGAAAAAATATCCTCAGGGGAGGATTAAAAACCAACCAACCAACCAACCAAACAAACAAACAAACAAAAACAACAGAAAAAAAGAACACTTCCAGAAGTAATATTTTCTGAAAGTTCAAAGGAAAAATGTTCAAAAGTCAGTATTATTACATAATAGCAGCGGTAAATAAAAATAAAATCAGTACCATTTACAATACTATAAAAATATAAAATATTAGGAATGAATTTAACAAAAGATGTGCAGGACCTTAGCACTGAAATTAAAACAAAATGGAGATAAATGTTAAACATACAAATAAATGAATAAATATGCCATATTCAGCTATTGGAAGGCCATTATTGCTAACATTTCAGTTCTCACCAATTCCATAGATTTACGAAAAGCATAAAAGCATGTAACTTTTTAGATGTTAACAATGATTCTAAAATAAACAAGGGCATTTAGAATAGCCCAACGACCCTGAAAAAGAATGAAAAAAGACAGTCTATTTGCCTTATATTGAATGTAGTATAGTAAAGATTTAGTATAATCAAGACAGTGGCATTTGTAAAGGATAGATATACAAGTAGATCAATATAATGAAATAAGGAGCCTAGAAATGTACCCATTACTATTAGGTTAATCAATTTTTCATGAAAAGTACAAAGATAGTTTAATGCGGAAGGAAAATCAGTTCAAAACATTTTATTATAACAATTCACGGTAGCCCAAAGATCCTCAAAAATCCCAAGTCACTGAACAATTGATATGGGGCAGATCATAAATCTAAAGGAAGAAGTTGAAAGTGTAAATCTTCTTGAAAGAAACATAGGAAAAATCATATATGATCTTAGGATAAGCAATAATTTCTTAGATTAAATATGAAAATATATATCAATGCAATAGAAGAAAAGATAATTTGGACTTTACTGAAATTTCATTAAATGTACAGTATTTCTTATTGAAAATGGACATTAAGAGAAACTTGACTTATACAGGGATCACACTGTCATTCTTTTCATTTATATTGTCAGTTCTGAAAAGAGACTACAAGGAATAGAAGGCTCTCAATCAAAAGCAAGGGATAAAACTATTATTGTAAGAGTTAGAAGAGTCTCTTTGGGCACTAATACTCTCAACTTATCTACTTCATTAAAATATTATCAAATTGCTAAAAATTTTTATTCTAATTGTTATATTGAAATACAGAAATAGCTTCCCTATATTGCTCATAATTTATTTTAAATCACTGATGTCTTCTTTCCTAGATAGATGGTATAACGAGGATATTTACCCTTCCAAAGCTATAAGATGGCCACTTTTCCTACTCATCCCTTTCTGCATTATTCTCTGTGTAATGATAGCAACTCTGGTAAAAGTTTATCTGCAAAGAAAAAAATGGAAAACTGAGGAGTATATAAGCGATGAGTAAATTGATTTTATATTTAAGATTCAGTACTTTTATAATATGTTAGTATCCATAGTAACACATTAATAAAGAACATTTTGATAACGTTACTAGTACTAACTCAGATTTAATTTTATCTTTATTTGGAAATGTAATAATATACTGAGGATTAATACAATGAATAATGAACACATTTTTTTTTTTTAATGTAAGCAATTTTAATCTTATAACAACTTGGACTCTGTTAGGGGTAAAATTAAGTGAAAATCATTTCTAGTGAATGTTTATTGACCTCTTTTTATTATTTAATCTTAATCACTAACTATATTAAATTTTATTATTTTAGTTTTAATATTTATATATTTCAAAGAATTTTGCATGCATTGTCTTATTAAAAGATAGCAGGGAAACCCAGGAAAGTAGTTAGTGAAGTCAGTCAGTCAAAAAGACGAGCAACATATAATTTCACTAATACATGGAATCTAAAGAATAAAACAGATGAGCAATCAAAATTGAAGCAGGTTCATGAAGAGAACAGACTGATGGTTGCCAGAGGGAAGGGGGTTGGGGGGAAGAAGGTGAAGGAACTGAGAAGTACAAATTGGTGGTTACAAAACAATCACGGGGATGTACAGCATAGGGAAGGTACAGCAAAGGTACAGCATAGGGAATATAGCCAATAATATTCTACTAACTATGTACGGTACCAGGTGGGTACTGGAAATATTGTGGGGGTCACTGTGAAATATGTGATTGTCTAATCACTGTGCTGTACATCTGAAATTAATACAAAATAGTATTGAAGGTAAGCTGTAATTGAAAAATAAATAAATAAAAGAAGTAGGGCAGAAGATGAAGGTCAAAAAAGTTTAAAGTTATTTAACTAATAACATTATACATATGAAAATGACCTAAGCTAATTTTCAGGTCAACTTACATTACTGTGTTTTTTTCTCGTTAGTCTTAATTACTCATGAGAGATTACTTCAGTGGTAAGATAGTTTCAAGTAGTGGCTGCTCCTAGATCTCAGAAAGGAATTCAAAACTGTTTTAGTACAGACAGATGGTGCAGAGTTTTTTACCATAATCTTTGAAGAAAATATAATTTTAAGTGATTATATTTGTTTTTAAATGTACAGGGAACTTGAAAGTGAGAGTGAACCCAAGAGTGGCCTAGAAAACAAAGAATCCATAATATCATAGTGAGTATCAAATATTTTAAGGATGAGATAGAGAGGCAGAGAAAATGTAATGTATTAGAAAAATATAAATAATATAAACATATATTAGATGGTAGTAGTCATACAGATGCATACAATGAAAATTAAATTGGAGAACATTTTTCAATAATGTAAGCTACATCATAAATCAATAAAATACATAGATCAATACATGACATTCAATTCATTTAAAATGTCTTGCAGTGTTATCTTTTACATTTTTTCTAATATTTAATTTTTTAGCATTTGTGTATTCAGATATTGGTTAAAAATAGATTACATTATAGAACTCTATAATGAAGTTACTCTCATGCTATTTATTGAATTAACCAGCATTTTTAACTTCATTGGGCATACAGGTGATTTTTCCCCCCTTTATTTATTTTTCCAGAGTAATTATCTTCAATGGACAGGAAAATGGAAAAGAAAAAGTACATGTATTGCCACATTGCCTTGGATTCAAAACCTGCATATTATTGTTTTGCTGTAACAAGAAAAAAGTAGAATTTTCATATATAATTTGTTATATTATTTGTATATCATATAATATCTCTCTATATATATATAATTCCACAGATAAGCTTTCATATTACACAATTTTAAAGCTATCTCATACTGATTCTGTTAGTCAATAGAAACTAACTTAATCAGCAGACTTGAGATGAGGAAAGGTTACAAAATAATAAATGCAATGCCATAATTAAAGCCCACTGTTATGTTTTTAATTGCAAAGTTGTGTAGTTATGTTATTATCTGATGGTCCATAGCCAATCAAAAAAAAGTTTGATAGAATTTAACATTGAAAGCATTAATAAAGATAAAGAAGAATATATCATAATGCAAATCATCAATCTAAGAGGAAGCTACAATAACACATATGCCTTAGAATTATCCAGAGAAACAGAACCAATAGGTAATTATAGATAGATGATGATGATGAAGATAGATGATGGATATAGATGATAGATGATGATGATAGATAGATAGATAGGTAGATAGATAGATAGATAGATAGATAGATAGATAGATAGATAGATAGATAGATAGATAGATGATAGATAGATAGATAGATAAGATAGATGATATAGATGATGATAGATAGATGATAGATAGATAGATGATAGATAGATAGATAGATAGATAGATAGATATAGATAGATGATAGATGAAGATGATAGATAAATGATAGATAAATAGATAGATGATAGATAGATATAGATGATAGATAGATAGATAGATAGATAGATAGATAGATAGATAGATAGATAGATGATAGATAGATAGATGATAGATAGATAGATAGATAGATAGATAGATATAGATAGATGATAGATGAAGATGATAGATAAATGATAGATAAATAGATAGATGATAGATAGATATAGATGATAGATAGATAGATAGATAGATAGATAGATAGAGACAGATGATAGATAGGTAGATAGATGATTGATAGATAGATGATAGATTAGATGGATGATAGATAAATGATAGATATAGATGATAGATATAGATAGAGATCAGATGATAGATGATGATAGATAAAGGATAGATGATAGGTAGATAGATGATAGATAGATGATAGATTAGATAGATAGATAGATAGATAGATAGATAGATAGATAGATGATAGATAGATAGATGATAGATTAGACAGATAGATAGATAGATGATAGATGATATAGATGATAGATAGATGATAGATGATGATGACAGATAGATGATAGGTAGATGATGATAGATATGATGATAGATAGATATAGATAGATATAGATTAGATAGATGATAGATAGATAGATGATAGATGATGATAGATGATGATAGATAGATGATAGATAGATAGAT